TCAATCAAATTTCTTAGACATTTCTCTTAATATTCAATGTGAATAAAGCCCATTACAACAATTTGAGCCAGAAATCTGATTGTTTTTTATGAAAGTTACTGGTTTCTACATATTTTGGCTATACGCCGCTTTTACTTCTGAAATTTATGATATAACTTAAAATATTTTAATGATCATCTCTTTAGAAACGACGAATTTTTGTATTATGTCATATGCTTCATCAAACTTAAGTAAGATGCCACTTATATTGGGGATCAATAATCAGAAGTGCAGTGTGAGCACATGTATTTGATGTTTTCTTTTTCAAACTAATCTTTAATATTTTTTCTTTAGGTTGGAAAATTATTAAATCATAAGCATTATTGTATTATGTGTTTTCTAAATTAATCTCATTTTTTACGTGAGCCAAGGTCAAAATAGTTAAATGTTTTTACGAATAGTTTAAAATTTTAAATTTTTTGGACAAATATCCAACTTCTTCAACAGCTGCTTTCAGAGCTTTGTTGCATATTTGTATTTGCTCATTATATTTTATTGATGATCCCCATCTTGTTATAATTGTACATAATGTAATATAAATTGGCAATTAGCAATTTTCTAAAACTATACTTAAGTTAAATTTTTATATTTATTTATATATTTAGATTCAATCAAATTAATAATGAGAAAAATTCTTAATATTTTAACTTGAAAATTTTATATTTTTATATAAAATTAAATTATAATTAAATCGAGGGCTAGATGATACAAATATATTTGAAAATAATTTGTAAATAAATTAGATGGATAAATATACTTTAAATAGATATTAGTTCATTATATAAATACAGTTATTCACCAATAACATTTTAGAGTATTTGACCGTATTTGACCAGGTCAAATACTCCTTCTGTCAATTGACCGATTTGCCAACCCTGATTAAATTTCTAAAAGATTAACTTCCATTTTTAATAATATGTAAACGACTACGCATTTGACCATTATTGTTTATCTAAAATATGCAATCATATGCTCTCAGCAGCTGTAGTAATAATCTTATCTTACATTGCCATCAATGAAGCCATACAAAATGGTGGTTAATTTGCAATCATAGCCATGATTCTCACGATGTTAACTCATATCAGAATTTATTATGTTAGATAAATTGATAAAAAAAATGCTAAAACCTTTAGAAAAAATTATGTAAATAAATCGAAGCCTTAAGTTATTTACACTGGCACATTAGAAATGAATTAACCAGAGTAATATGAATATGATCATGCAAATAAGATTTTATATATTATTATAGCACCACCTCGAGTTGGTATATTATATCTTAAAATAATAGTAGTTTGTAATAATGTCAAAAGTATACTCGTATTAAAAATCTAACTCGAGAGTTTTTAAAATAAGAAAAAAATAGCTTTCCTAAAAACACGTAAAAAAAGAGAAGAAGAGATATCTAATTTATTACATCCATTGTGGGATGATAATAAGAGGTTTAATTTTTAATAATATTTTTATACAAATAGATGGCGTTATAGAAGTGAATGCAAATTGTTACTTGTATTTATTATCAGAAGCATTTATCAAAATATAAACTATATTATATAACTGTTAAATACGCAGGGATGGGCAAATTTTCAGAAAATTGTATTCGGATACAGATACTTTATAAAATTTTGTATTTAAGATACAAGATACTGAATACTTTAGAAAAATTTCAATAAGATATAAGATACAAGATACTTGTATTTTTTTTAAAAAAAGTATCTAAGATACAAGATACTTTTTTAAAAAACTTTAAATAGTCAAAATCAAAATGTATAAAGCTTTATTTTCATATCTATAAATAAATTTATAAAAAATATTTAAAATAAATTGTAGAAAATAACAAATTTATTATAAAAGATAATGCGATATTCCATTTAATAATTATATAAATAGTAAATAATAATAAATCATCATATATCAGCATTATTTTTTAATATTATTAATTTTTCAAATGATTTATCGTTCAATCTTTGACGATTTGGTCTATTAACCATATTAGCAAAGCTAAATAATATTTCAACGGGGGCTGAGGAGGGTAATATTGTGTTATATTCAATAAATATTTCTTTTATATATTTATAACTATTTAACAAATTTATACTCGGCATGTCATCTTTCATATAATTTAGTACCTCTATTTCAATATCATTTATTGAATTATTAGAATTGGATGTAGTACTTTTAAGGCAATAGTAATCATCATCTTTATCAATTGAAGATTTTGTTGAAGTATTAATTTCAATATTATTTTTAAAAACAATTAAAACTTCATGTAATAACAAATCCTGAAGGTATTTTTTTCTTTTTCACCATCAATCCAACGATTTTTAAAATAGGGATGAGAAATAGTTGCCAAAAATTATCAAAATCCTATATATTTTTAAATCTTTTTTTTAAATTCTATGGCAACATCTAATGGTTTGCAAAATTGTAGATTGGTTTGAATTAAATTTGTAATTTTTTTTAACGACATTTAAAATTGGAGCTGATTCTCTATAATAGCAGTTGATTTCACTCTGTATTTTGTCAATCGCTATAGCCAATGGGGCCATTATATTGCAATATTCTTCTAAATATTGAATTTCAATATCTCTTAATTTAGGAAATTCTAATTTTTGACATAATTTAGGAAGTTCGCCTTTAAATTTTAATAAACTATGATATCATACAAACTATTCCATCTAGTGCAACAAGGTGTAACTAATTGTTTTCTTAAAACTGGTTTGATAAGTTCTGCAGTTTTAGGCCTATTATTTGCATTCCATAGCTTAGTACATTTAGCTATTGCTGGATGATGAATTTTAGAAATGTTAGGAGAATCCTTAATAGCTCTCTCGACATCTGTTGTGGCAATTAGACTTATCGTATGGCACAAACAACTAATGTCTTGAGGCAATGTTATTGAGGCTTCTTTAGACCCTTAAATAAACAATAAATAATTTTATTTGAATAAAATTTTTTACAAAATTTACAATATCATAATAAATTTTAAAGAAGTATTAAATAATACTTTTAATGATTTCGAATTCTATACATTCATCATCATTGATGTCAAAGTCATTCTCTACAGCTACATAGAATATCCAAACTCCTTGAAAGCTTTCTTAAAGTTAGAGCCGTTATCTGTAACAGTTGCTATAACTTTTTCGTCAATACCAAAGTCACGATGAATTTCTTTATTATGATCATCTTGAAGTACTTCAAAAAATTTGCCATTAAGTATGCTTAGTTTAAATTTATTATTATAATTTTCGGTTGAAGAATCATCTGAAGACGAAGATATATTATTCTATTTTCTTCTTCCATAATTTTAAAATAGATAGATATAAAACGATTCAAATATGGTAGTTTTAATTGTTAGCAAATTGCTATATGACGACCAACGTCATATATCAAATCTTAAAATATCTAAATTTTGATTAAATTTTTCATTTAAATCTTAAAACAATATCATTTTTAATTTTAATACTATTTAAATTAACCAATATAAATTTTTTTAAAGTATCTGTATCTTTTTGAATACAAAGTTGGTTAAGATACAAATACTTTTAAATAATATGTATCTTATATACTGGATACAAGATACTTTCCAAAATTTTAAAAAAGATACAAATATCCGCGATACTGCCCAACCCTGTAAATACGTCTGTAAAAGTGGCATTTAACCTAATATTATATAACCAATTATATATAATAGCGTATTATTAACTATATGTCTACTTTTTTATAGAGAAATCTCCTATACCTATTTGGACCTTGAAAATATTTTTAGGAAGAGGCATGGTAATTAAATTTAAAAATGAATAATAAAGTTGATTAGTAATTTTGAAATTGGCATAAATTTGTTAATTTTCAATTAATAAATGATTATATTTATTTAATTCGGGTTATATAATAATTTAAATAATAAAAGTCAATTAATCTTCAATTGGTAATGCTAAATTAATATTTAGTGAGGTGAGTGATATTGATATTCTATTTTTAACGCCGAATTTGATTGTAAGCTGGTATAGTAAATATATTTATATTTATATGTATTAATCTAATCTAATAATTATAATAGTATTCATTTAATAAAGATGTAGATAGTCTTATTAATTTTTAAATAATAAAATTAAATCTAAATATTACTTAATAGAATTATAAAAAATCGTTCAGGGGGCAATCAAAACAATTAATTTTTAGTTCAAGGAAATATTAAGGAGCCATTAAATAAAATATTTTGCTTCAGGGGGCTATTCAAATTTTTTAATGGGCTCGAGACCCTGCGCGCCTCTCCCTAGTGACGCCATTGATACGTATATCATTTCATTCTTATTTAAGCTGTTATTTTGATTGATCTATTAAATGTCTTCCACTATAAGATTAGAATTATCAGCATCATTAAAAGTCAATGAAGAAACAGTATTCGGCTTTATTTTTTGAAGAAAGATATTAATAAAAATAGTAATCTATGCAGGAAACAAGTACAAGTCATTCCCAAAAGTAAAAACGCTTTTAAAGATACATCTGATGATACATGCATATTTGGAAACTTTATACAATTTCTAAACATTAAAACCTTGTTTATAAAATTAAATATGTTCCTAAATTCTTGGCATTTTTTAAAATGGATTGTTATTAGTCCATTTAAAAAAGACTATTATAATAAAGGATGGGTTAATTTTTAATTTGGGGTATCTTAATTTAGACATTTTTAAGGAAAAATAATCAATGGTTATACTTTTTGTAATAAACCATTTGTATTTTGTTAATCCCTGGATGCCCTGGCCAATTTGCAATGCAAAAGGGTTTATGGTGCCAAAACTTACTTTTTTATTCCGCACCATGTCTTAGTCACTTCGCTGTTAATAAGAATTTTATATATAAATTGATACATTCTATCATCAGGATGAAAAGTCTGTCATTTAAAATTCTGATAAATAGAGTTTTTCGTCCGTTATAATTACAATTTTTTCATTTTAAAATTTCACGTGTGAACGTTTCTATCTTATTATATTTACAAATATAACAATAACACGCATAACGATTTGATAAAATATGAGTTTTAAACCCGAACAAAATTTTACATATAATATTTATTCTAAAGTGAAATGACTTAATTGTTTAAATATGATGTATACATTGGATCATTTAGCAACATTTTCTTGTGGGCAAAATCAAGGTATATTATTATATAACATAGAAAATAAATATATCTTAAAAAAAAACTGATTGTCATTATCAAACTATTCCCATATTTGTATAATATAGAATCAAAATTTCTATTATTTTTAAAATTCCTTATATTAATATGTAATTACAAAATTCCTACTGTAGATCATAATTAATAAAAAAAATTGTGATTTGAGATCTTTTATGCATAAAAATCACAAAATATTGATTTATAATTTTAACAAAATATTAGAATTTTTAGGTAAAATTTGATCAAAAATCCTGTTCTGAACATTCTCAAAAAAGTTCCTCAGATCAAAAATCTTTGGATTTATTAATTTGAAGATTATTTCAAACTCTATTTTTGGGAACATTTTTTCTAAAGCATAGTAACAGCAGTTAACTAGGGGTTAGAGAGATGCCAGCAATTTAGCACTGATATTAGTAGTATAATATATTAAAAACGAGTTTGATAAGATTTAGTAATTGTTTAGTAAATTCGCTTGAACATTAGGGTAGACTTTATATGTCTTAAAAAATGGTTTAATTAAATTTAGTGATTGTTTAGTAGTTTACTACATTTATAATATTGTCATATGAAAACTAAGATTTATACCAGGTTATCATAAATCTATCACAAAGATTTGATTTGATTTTTATTTTTCTCAAAAAATCTCCTTTTTATAAGTATTTAAAAAATTTATAAAAATTGATGCATTTTTGTTAAAAAGGGTATTTTTATCAGATATTTTGGCTGAATGTGACCCATTAAATATTTAAATCCTTTTATTGTTACAAATAAAATAATATCATATTTTTAGCTATATGCTTTATTTTAACCAAAAAAATAAATTGAATTTTGGTTCCTTTCATTTATTTGTTATTATTAGATAGAAATTATGTATAAAACAAAAAATATTATATAATCATAAAATAATCAAAAACAATGATGATATTTGAGCAGATTGGTTTTTAAAAAAATTAGATTTGATTTGTTTTAAATTATAAATATCCACCTGATTTAATTAAATATTTATTATTGGCAGACCCCTAGCTAGTTATTACCAATATCAATCCATAATTCATATTGAAGAGTAAATAAAATTCTAAAAATATTGAGTTTGATATAATATAAAAGGGATTTTTTATTTAAAAAAAGAAATATATTTATATGTAAAGACTAAAATATCTATTTTACTCAAAATGATATAGAAAAAAGCAGAATTTTCATATTAATACTCTTTACATTGATTTTGCTTTTTACCCTACAGCCTGGGCAGTTTATATTGGCATTAAAATTAATCAGCAGATCATCAATGCCATGTCTGGTCATGCAATTTTAGTAGAGATATCGGACTGGACAAAACTAAATCCTAACTGAGCTGGGGCTAAAAATTTTGCCATTTGCAGACTTCTAATCTGTATTGAATAACCTCTATAAAATAATTACGAACATCATATTTTTTCATCAAAAAATGAATTTAATTGAAAAAAACGTGGGTATTACTTCTGATAATACTATTTAAAATAAGATATTGTTTTTATCTATTTTCCTTTTTTTTTTACATTTCATAACATTTTTTTTTACCAAAAAGTTTCTCAAATTTAATTTGGATAAATAATAGGTCATCCATTGCATAATAATATAATATTTTTCATTTTATTTAAAAAAAATAAATATTATATTTACATATTTATTAATCATATTTATATCTTTAAATTATTTAGTGTGGATTTTTAAAATGGTATCTTTATAATATTTTTAAAGACAATAACTGGAATTAAGAAATGATACACTTAGTTCTGTATTCATAGTTAGGAGTAATTGAATTAAAAAGTTGATAACACAAGTTAAAAACTCTAGAAATTTTTGTTTCTTTTATAAAATTCAATTCTATTTTTTTGAGTCTAGTACTAGTTCAGTTGCCTGGCTGCCCTAGCCCACAATAATCAATTTCTGAAGGAAAAAGACATAAATTTGTCTAATTCTAAGCCTTTAAAAAAGTTCTAGCTTGACCAGGAAAAATATTTAGCACATGTTGTCAACCAGGCACAAAAATCTTTCGACCAAGCCCCTGGGGCAGGATTTGGGGTCAGGAAGCACATTTAATGAACTTGAAATAGTGTCATACTGAACTGAACACACCTTTCCCTCCTCCTCACACCTTCCCCTTATCTTGGTAGAGGGACATAATCTTTGCAGATTTGCCTCAAATTACAGGGGGATGCTTATAAAAATGGATGAGTGTAAATTTTGTGGTACACCTCTGTCTGATTTCAAATATTGAACTTTCTTTTATAGGTATATTGATTTTAATTTAAGTTAATGTTCTTTATGTGAAAAGAAAATGTTAGATATTTTAAATTTTTATGTATTGTTTCATCATCTGTTTAATTTTTTTAAATGTAAAGGGTGGTACCAAAAAATATTTTATTATAAATTCGTAATTTTTAAATTGAATTAAAATCGATATTAAAACAATCATTTATTTATCTTTGATAATTTTTTTATCACGTGTCTCTTTAAAGAAGAATGGTATAAAGTAGATCGTACTCCATCACGCGATTCCGTTAATATAAGAGACCTGAAGAGATACCATTCGCCAGACCTGGATTTTTTTCGGCCTGGCCCGGGTTTTATTAGTTTACGCCTGGGCCGGATTTTTTTTGAAATATATTATATTTTTAATTTATATAACTAATAATGGTGATTTGAAATATTTAATTTAAAAATATACATCCTGGGCCCAGGTAATTAAAAAAAATTTTTTTAAACCTACCCCGGGTATTTAAAAGAAATTTTTTAGGCCCGGCCTCGGTATATTTAAAATAATTAAAATTCTGCCAGGCCCGTGTACCCGGGCCAGGCCTGCAAGTTTGAGATATATTAAAAAATGGGTCTTATTGTATTTAAATTAATTTTGGTAGTTTTTTAGCAAGTGGATTAACTTCATATAACATTACTCTGTAGTTGCGTATTTAAGGGGTTTTTATGAAGGGGTGGGGGAGGTGTTGAGTCCTGAAATAAAATTAGCGTAACTCATATGCATCTTATTTATAAATTCTTTTTAATCATCATCCTTAACTCCTTTTTTAAATTCCTTCTCTACACGTAAAATATTGGCATATGATTTCCTCTGGTCTGGTGTATATAATAAGTTCACCACATTTTCCATACCGGGCCACTTATTCATTTAAAGCATTTCCGTTTAGGATCTTTATCGTAACTACAACGAAAGATATTATAGTTTATAAAAATATAAGAGTAAAAATCGAATATTTAGTCTCGTTGATTCGATTTAACAATTCTATTGGATAATTGGATTCTTTTGAACGAATCGAATAATTTACTATTCATATTCGTTCGAATAGTAGAATATAGTATTCTTGATTGATTGGTATAATTACTAATGGTAAATTATCCCCCAGCTGTTTTTGGGCTGGTTCTGAAATTAAATAATCTCGGAGACACCACTTCAGTATCTGTTCAGGTACTTGAGCCATTCAATTACTTATTTGATTTTTTTGAACCTATAATATAAACCCAGGTTTAAAGCAAGTAAATTATAAATCTGATTTATCGGCGGTAAAATAAATCCTAAAAAATGTTTTTTTTACCCGAGAATATGAAGCAATTCGATTTTTTACTCGATGATTTAGTTTGGAAAGTATCAATAACAAAAGCATAAAATAATTCGCAAAAAAATTAAAACCATCTATTTTAAAACACTGCATACGTATAAATTGCAAGCGATTATTACTCGCCCAAATGCCGCATTGTACTCGTTTTTTATTACTATTCATAGCACAAATCTATTATGCCATTCCATTCATAGCAATTACTCTAATTCACGATTTGAATTACTATTTAATTTATATTTTGATTATAATTTCATCAAATTTTATTTATCATTTACAATTATATTATATACAACTTTATTATTATATATTATTTTTAAAAAAGGTATAAAATACCTAATAAAATTATATAATGTTTTACATAATAGGATGTGTTGGGGAATATGAGGACAGTGTTAGATAAAATAAATATCTCGAATCGAATATAATAATATTATATTATATTTTTAAGTTTTTTTTTATATTAAAAGCCAAAAGGCAGAAATAATTGAAAATATTATTTACTAAAAAAGCAAATTTACGATTATAATATAATTTACTTTCCTTTTGCACCTTTTATTGATAAAAAAAGGATGAAACACATTTAAACTTACCATTAAATTTATTATATTACTAATATTATGTGTATTTATAATTCGACTAGGATACAGCACTACAAACTTTGATTTATGTAGTAATAATAATTAGTTAATTTTTAAAAGGTTTTTTTATAATGATGGTTTAATTGGTGGTTAAAGTATGGGGGGATTATATATAATCAAGGCTGCGAACTCTCGTTCTAAAAATTCGGTGTCCATAAAAATATGGACTTTCAGTTTTTTTAAAATTATATATTACATTTAGTAATCTATTCACCACCATAAAAATATTTTATCGCATCTAATTAATTTTTTTATTTTAAGCAAATTATGATATTTTCAAAAATCTAGATGTTAAATAAATTTTAGATTTTTATGTTTAACTTTGACAGTGCATTGCAAAATATTTTTACCTTGTGATTTTGCTCTTTTCGTTGATCTTTTTCTTATCCACTACCTTAACTTCCTTAGGTAAACACTTGCCTTATCCTTTCTCAAAGATTTAAGATCTCACATATGCGAACTCTCGGGCTATCCTAGAGAAGGCGTCTTCCTAAGTCAGAGGCTGGCTTATCCTTAAAGCTAACTGCATCAGCTTCAACGGCTATCTTCTTTCCAGGGAACTTTCCTAGACTTGCTCTTCCTATCCTTTTTTTTCTCAGTTTTATGCTACATTTTTTTTTTGAAAACATTCATGAACCTTGATCACTAAATTTAAAAAAAGTCGGGTTCAGTAAAATCTCCAGGGTTCGAAGGACTCCGGTATCAGTATGTTTTTTTTCTCGCTAATCACTACTGATTTATTCAAATTCTAAAAGTATCATTGAATTATTATCCCAATTATTTACGGGGGAGGGCATTCCCTTCATTTTATATTGACATTTGTCTTTTAAAAGGGGACGTACCTTTTCAAATTATAACTATCTTCCACCTAATGATAGTAGACCTATTATTCCTATTCGATTCAGATTAGGAATTCTAATAAAGCAGCTAATCGAATATAAATAATTAGTTTATTTTGTTATTCGATCGAATTATTCCGTAAATATTCCAAATTCTTATTTAATTTTATCAAGTTTTATGGCTGTTTAAAGTTGGAGGCTAAAATTTTATTTTTTTTCTTAGTTATAATATATGCAAACTCTAGTAAAAATTTTAGAAAAATCTGAAGGGGGTCATGAAACTGTTGATTTCTCAGGGAATTCACCATATATTCCTTCCTAATAACTTTAGATAGCCTCAAAATTAAAATGTTAATTTTTTTAAATTTAACAGTTTTTTCTACCAGTCATATAATTTGTTTTATATATATAATCGGAAATAGTTGATTACAGTTTAGATTAATTATATTTGTTTTACATAGTGCCGATCCAAAAATTATCATTAAATTATTACCGATCCGATATTTACCCGAAACCGATTCAATAACCGGTACTGATCAACGATCAATTTTAGTCGAATATTGGATCCTTTGTTTGACAGTTCTTATAGATATTTTTTTGTGTCTATAGGTCTTCATCACCCCTTGGATGCCGTAAACAAGTTGCGCTTGCTCGAAAAATCGAGCGGCATATGGACCCAACGAATGAAGATCAAGCTCGACAAGAAAGATCTACACATTTGCAGTTTCGAAGATGCGGTAATGCGCTTAAAATATATATTATTGTCCCTTTAAAGTCCGTATTCTTATAAGGGTGCTAAAGAATGTAAAGAAATAAAGAAAATAAAAAACTTTAATGTTTATAATTTATAAACGAGTTATTTTATAACCAACGGATGCCAAAGTTATTATATATATCCTGTTTTAAGGTCTTAAAATCAAATTATTGCATATTTATATGTATAATATATATATATAATGAAAATATTTTTCGTAATAAATGACACCTATGTGTCGTGTCGCTTTATTTCTCAAAACAAAACAAAAATGTAACATAAATAACTAACCTTTTTTTAAATATTTAAAATATCTTAGATTAATTTTTATTTACCTATTTTGTGAGGGGAGTAAAATATTTTATTTTCCTTTTTTAATTTTAATTTTAAGATAACCTTCTAAGTTTAAATTGGAAATCTCTTAAAAAATTTAAATCGGTGGGTTGAGTTGGATTCATTTTCTATTACTTGGTATGCAATCGCATGTCTTGTCAGATTTGACAGGTTATTAATAATGAATTAAAAACCATTTTTAACGTTATATTTATTAACCCTGATCCATATCTTTCTCTAACCTTTAATTAACCATATATTCATTTCTCTCTGACCTTTAATCATGCTCCTTACCCCAGTCACCTCTTTTAATTTTAGATTTTTAATCATAATTTATACGATTAAAAAATTCCCTTCAAATGAACTTACTTTAAATTCGGCCATTATCTTTTATCATAATTTTATAACCTGCATTAAATGTATCGGGTGTTTTTTATGTACATATTTTATTATTATTTTTTCTGTCGCGAATTCTTTCTATCAAATAGTGTTTTTTATTTGGTATTATATATAAAAAAATATAGATAAATTTTATGACTTAATGCTAACGAGAACTAGGTCGGTAAATAGCTTCCACATTAAATTTTTCTAAGCGATAATCCCGAAATTTTTTAGAAAATTTTTTGTCATAGTCCGGACTAAAATTATTTTCAAAAATTAGGCTCATCTAATACCAAAGTAAATTCGGACCCCAGAGGGGGATCGAGCCTGGCCTTGCAGATCGCGAAGTTATATACGCCAATTTTTTTAGAAAAAAAATTTAACCCTAGCTAACCAATATAATATATATTTTTGGGCGGGATCAAAGGAGATGAGATAAATAATATTTTTCTTTTAAATGGAAATTTAAAAATTGTTAAAATTGAGCATTATTACCTTTTAAACCCTACTATTTCCATATCTAGCATAGTGTTGTTAAACGGTTCGATTTATCCTATTTGAAATAAAGATTTTAGATAAAATAATATTACGCAGGCCTCGAGATATCGTTAATAAGATGTCCAAACCTTTTCTGACATCTACGAGTGAAATCTCCAGGCTTGCGTTTTTATTTTTAGCTAAAATATTGGGTTAGCCGTTTTTATAATTCAAGCCGTTTAACAATACTAATCTAACATAAATAATACCCTACTTACCTTGGGTCTTGACCTGAATGTGGATACCCTTTTATTTTAATCCAAAATGTAAATGATAAATTGAGGATTTAAGATATTCGAAAGATAAATGATAAATAATTATGAAGCGGGGCTTAAATGAATGTAGCGTTTATTATAAATTATTTTAAGATCATTATGACTTTTTTTTAAAGTTCTAAAGCGTGATATCGGTCTGCCAACCTGGGTATAAGATTCCCGGAATTTTAAATGATTTAAAGTTGAAATTTTAAAAGATATTTTACATTTATGATATTATATAATAAATTAGATTATCATGGAGAGCTATTATATTCAATTAAAGATTTTGGTCATATAAATATAAGTTGACCTGAGAAAGCAACTTATAAAAAAAATATAACAATTTTTTTTTAATAAAAAGTAAGAAATTTCTTTTCCCCATTCGCGGCTTTCTTCTAAGGTTATTTAACTCCCATAAGTCATAAATATAATATTAGCATAATTTTAAAGTGATAAATAAATTTTTTTTTAAATTTATTAGTTCCTTATTATATAACATTTTTTTAAATGTATATATATATTTTAATAAGATTTATAAATTCCTAAATAATATTTAAATTATTTGAATTTGATATTTGAGGAATTATAATTTCTTTCTTGTCAATCCGCAGAGGGAAAGAAAGAAATCACACCCATTGCTCTTCTCTTTTTTTTGGTTTCCCTTCCTTCCATAATTTGATGGCAACCAATGCGTACCATCGGACTAGTATTCTACTGTTCTACATCTATTTTTTTTTAAATTGTCAGGCAGTAGAGCATGTTTAAAAAAAATAGGTTTCTTATATTTTAACAGATCATGCAATGATACATATTAAGGATTTAAATTATATTTGAACATTATTAATTGCCGATACGGTAGAATATTTAAAAAAGTGGATGTTGAACATTGCAATACTCAACCGACGATACATAATTATCATTGGTTTATTGATTTGGTTTTAATTGACCTAGGATCTTATTACCAAAAAATATGGCTTAATTTTTTAAACCATCCGTTCTTGATGATCTTATATGGGGTTTTAAAAAGGACGAGAACATGAGATTCTACGTAGCTCGATTCATTCTGATGCTTGATTTAGGTTATAAGCTCACACTTTTCTCTTACCCTGCATTCGCAGTTATTACGAATTCGCGGCGAAGTATGCAAATGGTAAATTTAATACACCGTGACACTCTTGATAAACGGCTCCATTTTTGAAAATGGATGACCCAATATTTTAGCCAAAATAATATGAGCCTGGAGATTTTGCTCATAGATGGCAGAAAGGTTTAGACATATCTTAACAAAATCTCGAGGTTTGCCTAAATTTGGCTAAAATCTTAATTTAAAATCGTCTAAAACGAGCCGTTTAGCAACATTAGTTACACTATGACTCCCAGCCATTTCGAGTAAATTTGTCAGAATAATTAAACCACACCCAAATAGCTCTAATATCTTGCAAATTTAATTTAGCATCTTAGTTATATTCGCGGTTTAGTTTTAGATAATACATAGTAGAGCTTTCCGTCGTGCATATTTTTTAGATTCGATCCGATCCGATCCAAGAAAAAAAAATTCTGATTTTTTTTCAAAGATTCGAGTTCGTTCCGAAATTTTATTTACTATAATATTGTTTAGATCTATCGAAAATCATTCGACTCGAAAAATTCGAGGCGGATACGAACATTTCATTATTTTCCGTTTTTTTATGGAGGCAATCGGAAAAATAAATAAGACGCTGAAGGAAAAAAAAATATGACTATCTAAAAAGGGTTCAGAAAAACATTTAGGAAAACAAAGGCAAAATAGTTTTAAAAAATTTTTTTATCAGGTTCGACATAAATTTTAAAATCAAGATTCGAATCCGATCAAGTCGGAGGGTGTGTTTGTCCGAGTTTGTTCCGAAAGTCTGTGCAGGGTAGCACGGCATAGAGGCGAGCCCAAATCTCATTTCTTGTTTTTTTAAAAAAATAAAAAAGATAAGTATAGAACGTTTTCCTCTTAGCAAAGTTCTAGAACCCACGGCAGTAATCACTGAAGATCCCAACGAAATTTACAATAACATCCTCATGTTTACCGTGCTACAAGAATCTAAGAAAAAGCTCAACCCGCTTTCCGAAATCCATTTATTTCAATGCATATCCGTTTCGGTATATTTTACATATAATTTTATTGTTTTTTTTAATGGAATGTTCACTTTTTTTTCTTTCTCTTTCATTCGAACACTTTCTTCTTTTTTTAAAAAAAATATTTCTTACTCATTTTATTAATTTGTTCTAAACGCAACTCTGAAGATATTTTTCAAGATAGTTTCTTAAGTTAATGGGAATGAGTTTTTTGCTCAAACCTAATTTAGACTAGAAGTAGAGTTAGCGGTTTCCATACGAGGTCTGTTAAATATAAACACTGTCAATTAAAATTGAAATGTTATACTGCATCAATCGATAGGTTATCCTCCTCTCCTTTTTCTTTAAACATATTTTATTGAAAATTTGTAAAAAGTTTTTTTTATTTTTAAAAAAACATAATTTATTCGTTTTACTCAAGTGTAACTAATACAAACACAATCAATATTTATAAAATTAAATCTCATTCTTTCCCCCTCTTTTTTTTGAAGATGTTTTTTTTGTTCTTAAAAAAATATATATAAGAAAAACGGTAAGTGATGGAAGGGGACTGGGTCATTTATTGTGTATATATGTATTTTTTTTTCAATAAGGTATTTAGGTCTATTCAAAAATGAATCGATTCTTATGAATAATAAAATTTAATATTTTGTATTTCAATCACTAATTATCACGAAAATTGCATTTGAAATACAAATTTCATCATTCCCGCCCGAAGGAGTTGAAACATGGTATCACAACACGTATTTTCGCGAATATATAGATTCCCATACGTGATATCTTACCTGTTTTATTATAGAGGACGGGTACCTCAATGTAGTCTGATCACAGGGTAGAAGGAAGGAGTATTATATCATTAAATCATTTTTCCGGCATTCTCTCCTTTTGCCAGAAAGAAAGAAATATAGTAGTTATTTATTAGTATGTTATGATAAAAAGAACTTGCGATCAAGTTATCAACGAAATTAAAAGGCGCATTTGCCAAACCAGTTTTTGGGGGAAGTTTTATTATTGTTCCTCCTTTATATAAGATATGCGATTTTTTGACAACGATTTAGTTCCAACTTAGAAAAGTCTTAGAGCAGTTGAAGTAACCTTGTTAATCACGTCACCTGTCATATGATTATCATAGGAATGACAAATAATTTAATTTAAAAAAGACATTATTAATAAATGTTCCGAAAATTGATTGTTCAATTCATTTTTAAATAGGTCTAATATGGAGAGTGGCCTACTATGTTTTATATTAATGTTAAACAGAGATATGCAGCCAATTATCAGTATTCATTTGGTTATAGGCCGATTTTGACATTTTTTACCTATGCCAATGACCGAATACCTCAATTTTCAAATATTTTTTAAAGGTAGAATAAAAAGAATCGATTTAATGTGATCCAAAGTTTCTTGATAGGGATAATATTAATAGTATCCCCGTTATTTGTTGTTAAAAAGCCCGATTTGGGTCTATTTTTCAAAACGGCCCGATTAAGATTTTATAAATAATATTAAGTAAGCATCGAGAATTGGCAAATAGATGTCCAAGCATTTCTACCAGCTATGTGCAAAATCTTTAGGCTTACATAATGTTATTTTGGTTATAATCTTAAGACCGTTTTTTTTAACACTATATAGAATGGCCAACATTAAAAAAGAGGTATCCTTTGTTGATAATATTTATTTCCCTTTATACGTTATATTTGGGCGATAAGTTAAACCAGAAATAGATTATGAGGGGGAAAAGAAAATATAAAGAATATTGCATCGTTTCTTATTTATTTTCTTTATTTCGCTTATATATATTTTTTAAAAAACATTAACTTTCTTTGCCTCCTAATTTCCATTCGCACTTCTAACCCGATTCATTTTCCTTAACTCGATCAAACTTTCATAAAAAATTTTACGATATAAAAAATTAACAATGAAATTATCTCTATTAACCTGCTTAAAATTTAGACCTTAATCGCATAGTATAATTATAATATTGTATTTCAATTTTAAAAATCGATTATTATCTCGTTTTAATAAATTTTTGTTTTCAAAATCAATACTCACATAACACCATGTTTTCAAAATCAATACGTCCAAATTTAAATTATTATTGCCACGCGCATGTCAACATTTATATTTTATTATAACTTATTAATTTATTTTTATTTATTATCTCATATCATAACACCTCGTAACTTAATCAATATAATTCATTTTATAATTTAAAGTCAGTAATTTACAAAGTTTAAAAAAAAATAAATATTAATAAAATCCTTACTTACAAATAAATCGGTATTAATATGGTTTAAATCGCTAATCTCCCCTAATTTTCGCGATTTTTTTTTGAAAATAATTTAATTAAAATATAAGTATTAGCATATTACCTTAGCATGTAGCATCTATAAATATTATCTTTAAAAGATTTTCGAGGATAATATAACCGGACGTGTATTTCCAGATTAATATCAGCTGAATCCGCGAGCTCGATTACATAATGTAAGAAATCTCTTCTCTTTTTAAGATTTAATGAGAACAACAAATTATAATCCATTTTTAGGCATAGTTTCACGTTCCTTATTCCCACTGACCACCCCCTCTTTCAGCGTCATTCGGCCTCTCCGCTAGGCATCGTTCTATAACCCGTTACTCTACCACCCATTTAAAAAAATATTGTAATGTGAACATTTTTTTAAAAAAGAATTGGAAGAAATCCGCCTATGGATTGGATTGCTAATGCTTTTCTTCTGGCTTTTTTCTTCTTTCTTTCTTTTTCTTGTTTTTGCAGACAAAATATTTATAATCCTAAGGCTATCTCTTGGTTCCCTAATATTTTAAATAGCCATTCTGAATAATGATTTAGGGGTTTAAAAAAAATATAATAAAGTAAACCTTTTTGAAACATATTTGAGAAATATTATCACCTAATGCCAAAATCTATAAAATGGTATCCAGGCTGCTTTTCTAAATAGAATTCAGAATTAAGAACAAATATTAAATTGAAGCTTAGAACGCTACCTATAATATTCGCTTTCAAGGCTGCATCTAAAACTACCAAAAGCGAAGCAACTTTTGGACGTAGAGGTGAAATCCAAATAATCTTAAAAAAAATTATATATTTCCTATTATTTTTTATCTTGCAAAATATCATTATTATATTTATCGAAAAATAAAGGAATATAAAATAACCTCATATACCCTTTTTTTGAAGGCCAGTAATATTGTAAATTAGAACCATAATTAATTTTTTTTTAAAATTCTTCTCCTTTACAAAGATGAATATTCGTGGAGGATTTGTAAAATTAAAAGACCTTACTACAAAATTCAAAGGATATAGAAATAAGAAGGAAAAAGATAAAACCAAATCTTAAAAATTAATACAAGAAAAAATTATATTTATTTTTATTATTATCAAAAATAATGATGACTTTTATGTTTTGTTATTATTATTTTTTAATTTTTCCATACCATTTTTAAAAAAATAAGGAATTGACAAATCGTAAATCCATCATCAAATAGGGAGAAGGGGGAAAAAAAATTAACTTTTATAATTTTCCTAGTACCTTTTATATAATAATAATAGCGATAACAATATGGCAATAAATTATGAAAAGCTGACCTACAAATAAAATACAACCAGAAAATTTACGCGTACAAAATATATATATAAAATAATAAAGGTATAAGGGAAGGTTGTGCTTTTTTAAAAAATATAAATAATAATATTAAAAAATTATGCAGATTTAAAAATTTTTTTATAAAAAATAAAATTCCATACTTTTCGATTATTTTATATCAGGGTAACTTGTAGAGGTCAAATAATAAAACCCGGCACGCATGGCCATGAATTTTTGTGAAAAACGGCTCGATCGGGGTTTTTTTAACATAAAAATTGAACTATCGTAACCAGTTTTGTAATTCGTTTTTGAATCGAATCCTGTTTTTTGAGTTCAGGCTCGGACTTAGATATGTTTTTTTTTTATAAAAAAGTAAAAGTTTGAGGTTGAAAGAAAAGAAAGAAAATTATCTGACGTGATAATGAATGAATTAATAAAAAAATATGCAAAATTTGATATTTATTCTATTCCGGAATACTCCTTCTTGATCCCTGATCAATAAAAAATCATTGTTCTAATCAGATGTTATCTTTAAAAAAAATACTAGTGATTCTTTCTTCCCTTTTTAACGTTCCCATTTTTATAAATTCCCGCTTTTCTAAATGAAACGTTCAATTTGTGCGCACTATAAGAACTTTTAAAATTTGTGATTCACTTTTCAAATTGATTTTTAATTTTTTATAATCGATTTTTTAAAAACGTTGATAAAATATAAATAACTTTCTTTTTCAGAAAAACTTGAACAAATACAACATTGCTTATATTTGATTTTTATAAAAAGTAGAGGGGGGGGGAGGTCAGAAATCTAAAATTTATATTTTTGCACGACGTAAAAGCGAAAAAATTAATTTGTCTTGTATAATTGTTTATACGGCTCGGTTTATCCTATTTTAAATTAAGATTTTAGCCAAAAATAATATAACGCAAACCTCACGATTTTGTTAATAGGTGTCCCCTTTCCGCTATCTATGACCAAAATCTTCAGGGTTTGCTTAATATTTTTTTATCGAAAATATTTGGGTTACCCGTTTTTTTGAAAATCGAGCCGTTTAACAATACTAAACTGTAATTTGACTAGCTAAAACAGGTCAATTTATAATATTTAATCAAAATAATTAGTAATTTATAAGGGCCAGAAAAATTTGTATAATTTTTTTTTATAAAAGATCAGAGCCGATTTTAAATTTAGAATATTAAAAAATTATATTAATGTCCAGTTGGAAAATCAAATGATGCGAAGTGTTGTTAAACGGCTATATTAACCCTAGTTTTGATTAAAATTTTGTCTCTAATATTATTACCGCAAAAGCCTTGAGATTTCGGTGATAGATATTCAAATCTTTCTGCCTTCTATGAACAAGTTCTCAAGGGTTTGTATAATTATTTTTTGGCTAAAATATTTGGGATAGCCTTTCCCCAAAAAATCGAGCTATTTAACGACACTAATGGAAGCATTTAATATTCATTTACTGTTCATATTTTTAAATTATTCTGAAAATTAAAAACTCGGGACAAATAATTTTAAGAAATTAATCTTTTAAATCTGGTTAAAATTTTGACCCCATATAGGTTTTTGACATAAACCTTTAAATGGAATTTATACTTAAGTGCGAAGTTTTTTTTTAAAATATAAATGATGTCTTGTTGGGTGTATACCTAAAACGAATTATTCGATATTCGATTCATTATTTTATAAATAAGAAATTGCCCATATATGGCTTGGACATCTATTAACGGAATCTCGGCTTGCGTAACATTTTAGCTAAAATTTTAATTAAAAATCTGCTAAATTGAGCCGTTTAACAGTACTAGGTATAGTTGGGTATTAGAAGTTCAAGCAATTGCATGAATATTATTTAATTTTTCATAAAATTAAAACTTACAAAAAGAACCAACTTGAATTTCAACATTTATTAGCAAGTATATAAATGGCAAACGTGGAAATTTCTATAAAAATATATATTGATTAACATTTTCAACCGGTAATAAGCATGCCTGTATCTTGTATGTAAAATTTTTAAAAAATAATAAAGTTTAGATTTATAATTATTTCAAAAACTAAATTGGGCGCTGCATAATTTGGTTATCATTTTATATAGCATTTTTATTTGCATAGGTTATTTTTTAATAAAATGAAATTCGAATTCAAAACTTTCGCAGATTTTAATGAAAATGGTTAAATTCTTGAAATTTATAAAAAAAAAAAATTAGAATTATGTTTTGGACATGTTTTTATATTTAGAATATGATAAATTTATAAAATTTCCTCAGAAATATGTTTGGGCATGTTTTTATTTTTATATTTAAAATAGCTTATATATTTATATTCATTTAAAGTTTCGAAAGTTTGTGAAATTAATTTTTTGATGTTTTGGACACAGCCTAAAAAAATCAATTTTTAAATATTATTTTTTTAAATATTATTTTTAAATAAAAAGAATTGCTTATAAAAAAGGAAATATTTTATGTAGCAAAGATAATTTTAGTGTTGTTAAACGGCTCGATCTGATCCGATTTTTAAGAACGGCAATATTTTAGCCAGAAACATATTACTTAAGCCGAGATTTCACTAATAAAATTAGCGAAATCTTCAGATTTACTTAATATTTTTCTGGATAAAATATTGAGTTAACCGTTTTTAAAAATCGGCTCAAATCGAGCCATTTAACAACACTAGATAATTTAACAGATTAAACACTAAAACCTAAAACACAATAAGTATGTATAAGGGAAAGGCATACCGGAAAACTGAGACAAATTTAGAGAAAATCTCTGTAAAATAAACGATTTAAAACTATAACTTTTGTACAAAAAAGCCTTTATAACAAAATTATAATTAATGCAAAACAATGCTTTCAAAGTAAGAAAAAAAAATATATGATCACCCAGCCCACGACCCACCTTTTTTATAAAATGGAATTAGGAATATATTATAAAATTGAAAAATATTATTTTGAATTTTGTACATAGCGTATTCAGCAGCAACTTTTGAAATTTAATCATGTTTACCCTATTTAATTCTATTTATTAAAGGAAGGAAGGGAAAGAAAGATGAAAATATGATATGAATATGAAATATTTCTCACCTCCTGATTTATTTTAAATATTTTTTTTAGTTTTTTTTAAAAAAAATTCATTTTATAATTTACGATATTCAATTATCCAATAAAATAGGATCGAAGAATAAGGAGGGAATATTGTATTAATATTTTTTTTAGACGGTTTGAGCTGACCAGCCCAGGCCGCGGACAGAACTTCTCCATCCAATCCATCTTTCGTAATGTATTTACAATTTTATTAAGTTTTGAAATAATAGCTAGTAGATTTTTAATTAACAAAAATCCAAAATTTGATTAAGTAATACCCTACAATTTTAAGAAATCGAATGCTTAATTAAGTTATGTTTTAATAAGCTCCCATCGAAAAAAAAATATTTATATGCCTTTCGAATCAATTAATTAGATTACGAGGTAAGGAAGAACATCTATAAATTACGAAATGGTGTCGAAAAGATCGTTAAAATATTTTTTTTGCTTTAAATAAAAATATATATATATAAATTATCACTAGATGCTTGGATGAAAAAAAAAACATTTTGAGTGATAGGAAAATAAATATTTATTATACCTTATTCTATGTCAGTTCCTATTTTAATAAGAAAAATAAGAAAAGAAGGAAGAAAGGAATGAAAGAAAGAAAAAGAAAAGAAGAAAGGAATGAAAGAAAGAAAATTTAACATTAGAAGTAAAACGAGTCGGCTTGATAGTTTACAATAACAACAAGTGGTTTTTGTCTCACAATATAGTTCAAGAATCGAGATTAAATGTTTTCATTGTTTTCGGTTTCTTTTGTAGAATCGAATCGAAATATTTTTTTTTGTTTTAAATTTTGTTTTAGATAAGAGAAGTAATTGGAGACATTTTTTTTTAAAAAAAAGTTTTCTTTTATTTTTACTTAATTTTGAAAAACATTGAATTTTTTTTTTACCGATTAAAATAAATTCTTATTAACCGATTCTGATAAGATTTTAATCATCACCTTTTAAACCCTATATTTTTCGTCACATGGTTGTCGAAACTCAAAATCGTATCCTTTGTGGGTACGGTTGCAAAATCGGCTAATTTTTAGGGCAAGAGCTTCGTTTCTTGAGGTGATGGAATTCGGCCAAAAATTTGGTTTCCTTAGTAGTTTTTGGAGTAGCAGAATGAAATTGAACTGGCTAGATGGCGACTGTAATAGTACTTGTTATAGGCATATCCATGATTTTACTAAAGGGAGGGGCATTATTAAGTTATTTTTTCACCATAATTTCTATTTGGGATCTTAAGGTCCAATTGTAGAAAAATAATTTTAAAAATTTTCAATTATAATCGTTATTTAAAGAATTATTAACTTTTACTTATTCTTCTTCCAAATCTTGTTTATAGTTATATATTGTGTACATTTTTGCATAAGAGGAGGGTGGGGGTGTTATATATGGAGGAAATTTTTACTAGTTTAAAATTATAGGAATTCATCCTTTACCCCCTTGGCTACACCTTTGCTATTTGCTACATTAATTCATGTGTTTTTAAGATAAGATTAAATGTAGAATTTCTTATTATGTTAACTCAGGTGTTAAAAAAAAATTGATCGTAGTTAGAACTTATATGAAGGCGACATTTATATATATCGAAATTCTTCTGATATTTTATCATCTATTTATATAATTTTGAAGGTAAGATGAATTAACGATATATTCGATTTGTACGAAATATTTTGTATCACGAATAGATTTACGAATAGTTTTCTGGGAACCTATTGCATCCTTCTCTTTTTTTAAAAAATTTATTTTTACAAATTTATAGGCTCAGGAAATAGTCGACGAAATAAATCGCTTAAAATCCGGCTCAAAAATCAAAAAAAGCCCTAAAAGGTATCAAAAATATATATTCTTCTTAAATACGCCTTCTTTTTTTGTTAATAATGCTATTAATCATAATTCTTGTGACTCGATTTTCGATTGTCCTTTTTGCCATATTTAATTTAGAAATGGGATTAGGTTATTTCATATATCTTTCAGTTAAATGGGGAAGGGGCTTTGTTGTTTGTCAATCAACCGATTATCTAACATAAAATCTCACCCCCGTTTTAACTTGTTAACAATATCGATTTAAGAAATAAACAAATAGTTATCATGCACGGCACTTTGAATACATTTTTACCCCATTTTATAAAATGCATTTTAAAAATCATAACTAGGGACCGTTCTAATAAATCAGCCAGGAAATTAGTATTATAGGGCTGTAAACCCCAGATTAGGATTCAGAAATCTAAAAAACAGTTTGAGAGACCAAAGACCAAGTGGGGACCGATTTATGGATAACCCATTGTACCCTGAGTAATATGGACACGAGGCAAGTACAGGCCCCTTTAAAAAATTAGGTTCCGATTAAGTTCCTATTATTAAAATTTCCACTAGGAGTTTAAGTCCTTTAATTTTATGATGATACGTGACTATATTTTTTGTAAAATACGATTATCAAAATAAAAAATGTATTTCATTTTTATTATTTTTTTTGGTAATTCAAAATATAGCTATTACGTTCCCCCTCAAATGATGAGCGGTAGCAAATCTATGATAAACATTAACGAATTATCGTCCAACAACCTTAACATTAGCTCAAATTTTAACAACCATCACGCCACAAATTTTTCCAACCATAACGGCTACCCGACACTCCCACCCTTTTATAATGGCAACCACCATTTATCTAACAATTTTCGACACAACGCAAGTTTTTCCAGCCTACACTCGCCCCTGACATCTGTCGATCCCTTACATCGCGAGAGAAATTTTGGCGCCCCCCGTTCTAACGGTTACGGTCCCGGTAGGGTTAAAAGCAATCTGGACCTGAGAGAAAGGACCGGACAAACGCGCTTCGAAAAAAGATTCGACGAAGGTGATTGTATAATGATAGATAGCTATTAAGTCAGCGTCTAGGCAAGCAATTAAAAATTATGCGATTTTATTCGCAAAATTAATAATTCATGTAAAGTATGCTAAGTGGCAAAGCACAAAATAATTGCCTAATTTATTTCCCAAATTCTATCCCCCCCCCCACCCCCCAAAAAAAGAAGCTTACCATCTCATTCTACGATTTTTTGTGTAAACGATATGAAATATTTTAAAAGAATGAATAAATATTTTTTTTAATAAATTTAATTTAATTAATTATCAGGTCCGTATCCAGGAACTGACAAATTGAAAGGGGATGCCAACAGTTTTTGGGGACCAATATTTTTGTTATACGCCATTAAAAGCAAATTTTGTGTGCCGACATTTTTTTAAGGATGCCCTGGCACAACCCTGGCTACGAGGCTGTTAGAGATTGTATTCCTTTTTTTTAATTATGAAAAATCTATTACTAATGATTTTCTGAAACATGTTAACAATTTTTTTTAATCCTCCTGCGGTTAAAACTGTTTAATTTCCAGGAAATTATATTATAATAATTTTTACCAAGTTGAATAGACATGTTATTTAACGAAAAATTTCATTGTTCTATTTTTGCATTAAAAAAATAGCACAATATATTGCTTAATTTTAATCGTTTGCCAAAACGTAGCTTTATTATTAATAAAAATTTACAATTATTCTATATAATAAACTTATTATTTTTTGTTTATTAAACGGAACTCACTCTAGCATGGTTCCCACTAACATACAAAGTTCTTATTTATATAACCCATTTTCCGCTATACGAATAAAGAAATCTTAAAATTTTATTGTATGTATTGGTTTTCCCTCTTTGAAATTTAATAAGATTATACTATATTTAGTAAATTTTTTTAAACTAGTTTTTGAAAAGGATGAACAATTTTTAAAATGATTACTATATTATAATAAAGTTATTATTATGTTTGTTAAAATAAATATATATATATATAAAGATAAGGAATATCAGATGCAACCGAGGGAAAGTATTTATAGTTATTCTTCCCATGATATAGATGGAGCGGAATCGGTGGCCAGTCAGCAAACGGAACACGATGTGGTAAATGCTTGCTCATTTTTAGGGGGGGGGGGTGGGTGGGAGGATAGAATCAAAGGATGGCAGGGGTTAGTTAGGATAGAAATCTAGGCAATTAAATTTAATTGTTTGTGTCATAAATAAAATTATTTATTTAATTTAACAATTTACACTTAAGACTCCTTCAAACCTATTTTTCTTAGTTATCCTCTATTTTTTTACTGGTAAACCCATTATTTTGAAAAATAGAGTAGCACACCACTTTAAAGAGCCTTATTTATTTATTTATTTATTTCCGAAGATGATGTTAAACCACTGTTTCGACGATATAGAAAATTTTATCTCTAAACTACAACATTCGAACGCTGCTCTCAGGGAATTGGAAAAACGAAAAGTTATTAAGAAGAATAGCAAGAATTTGTCTGGAAGTAATATTTTTATTCATTATTTTAATCGTTTTTAAATTGGAAATTATCTATTATTATTAGTAAAAAAAAATATTTTTATTAATTTTTTTTATTTAATTTTTCATATTATCCAAAATAAAATAACTAAGATTTTTAAAATTATAATAGCCCATTTATTTTTAATTTTATCTTTAACTTATTATATTTATTTTATTATATTTTAAAAAACATTAATTTTTTTTAAAAACTCATGTGTTTGTTAGTCAGTCAGTCATTCTTTTGATATGTGAATTTAAAGGAATGGAGTCGACGAAATTTTTAAAATTTCGGTTTATTTCTTTTACAAATCATGTATACTTGACCTCCTATCTCCTTAAATACCCATTTACTCGCGTAAATATAATATACTCGTTCATAAGGACTAAAATATCTCAAAAACAAAATATTTTATTGGCATTATCTTTTTTCGTCACCCGTTTGTCATTACGTTAGTCTAGGAACGTAACCTAAAGAGGGGGTCGCAAATTTGTTTGTTTTCGTAAATATCATTATAAGCTAATAAAAAATTTCACCACCCACTCCCATCCCCCTTGCTCAAAAATGTAAACAATCAATATATCACTATTAGAAGAATTTGAAAGAAAAATTATTAAATGATAATAATTTTTTAAAATAACGACTATAATTAAAAAATTTTAAAAAAAATATATGTGAAAACTTAAAATTATTTTTATAAAAATGTAATATAGCCAAAAGCCTGAAAAAAGTATACTTAAAGATCTCTAATAAAATTTATTGGAAAAAAACTTGCCTAATAGTGCCCCCCCCTCTTGGTAAAATCCTAGATACTCCTATGCGTTAGTTCAACTATTTCTCCTTAAGTATGCTTGATTTCCTTTATTCACCGCCTACGATCCACTGAACTTATCTATGTAGTATTCTTTCTCGTTCCGGGGTAAGCATGATCCCCTCGCCTAAAACTCGCTCATTAATTCGTCTTGATCATTTCTCCCCCATATAGCTTGAATTCCTCCGCGCAACCCTCCTTTATCCCATTTGTAATTATTATCTCTTCTTATCTCACTCGCCACTCCATCCGGGGTTCCTATGAGCCTCTCGTTCGTTGTAAGTTGTCTCGCTTAATTTTCCATACGTTTCGTATAGCTATTTAGATCTTCCAGGGTTCATTAGACTCCTACCGTTTATATTCCCATTTACATCTCTATACCGATTTCATCATATAGCTCTTACCCAACTTCCTGAAAATTTAGTGAATGTCAAACAAGACCAGGTTAGACCGCTTGACAATCCGATTTAAAGAAAAATATGTGTAAAGTTGTTGGTTGCATTTGATTGAATTTAGAAATCAAATAAATCTAGATGATTTATCTACAAAAATCATACATTTTATTCTTATTCTTTTTAAAAAAAATAATACTTAATTTCTTAATCTCTTACATATTATTATAAGGTGGAATGTTGAGCCTAAGGGCTAGACCGCCCTCAGAATCGGAATTCGTCGATATTTTTCAAAAATTCAAGCTCGCTTTCAACCTTCTAGCTCGGCTCAAGAGTTGTATTCACGATCCCAACGCTCCGGAACTCGTTCATTTTTTGTTTCGGCCTCTGGAAATGATTGTTCAGGCTTTAAGAGTTTTAGCCTTCTTTTTTCCATTTTTATTATTATCTTACCTAATTCTCAATATATTTCTGCTAACATTCTTTGCAAAAATAAATGATTTTTGATAGCTTTATTGTTTTCACGTTTGCTTATTTTAAAAAAATTTTTTTAAAGTTTGAGTTTATCAAAAAATATATGCTTGCCGAAATATATTTAATTTTACATATATTATAAAATTCTTGATGAATGAAAGAAAAGCATAAATGCTATATTGATTAATTGTTTTTTTTAAATAGCAAATAAATTATGGTTCATCAGACCTGACGCATCACATAGTTACACCGTTGTTAACTAACAGAGCTATAGATCTACTCAGGAGTTGTTTAAACAGCAAGGAGACCGAATTTTGGCATTCGCTGGGAGAGGCTTGGAATTATCCTCAGTATTAAACATATAATATTTCTTAATACTTTACAAAAAATTATTGAATATTACTTATAAACTTATATTGGTTACGAAGTCAATTTGATGACAAAGAAAAAGTTGACCCATAGAAACATAGGTTATGAAATAATTTAAATCTATTGAGTTAATAATGCATTTAAATTTATTATTTTTAGGTAATATTTATATTGTATTTTTACTTTCTTAAAAAAGGGACCATTTTAGGGGATATTCTCGTTCCTTCTCACCCATATTCCAAGATGGTTGGCAGACTCGGTATCAAACTTCGGAAGGTGATAAAATGAGCGAATCTGAATCCTTAAAAGTATTAACTGATATTTATTTATTCTATTTTTGTTCACAGTTGCTTTTTATATAGAAAACAGTGAATTTTTTAAGAATTATAACTTAGAATTTTTTTTTGAATCTGATAATATCCTTTAATTTAATGAATGATGCTGTCAAAGGACCGGAAATATTTTGAACCAGCTCCGCGTTCCCCTATGCCACCACCCGTTCCTTCATCCGCTTCCTTTTTTTCCGACAACCACGAATCGGCGACCAATCACAGAGCTACTAACGGTAAATCCATTCACCGGAATGGCTCAGAAAAGATCGCCAATCATAATGGCGGAAATTTCTCCAACCACAACGGAAACGTTCAAGGTTATAACGGAAATTTTTCAAATGGGACAAGCATAGTGGCAGTGGAAAGAGGAGGCATGAGTGGCGACGAAATTGAGAAAAGGTAAATTGTTTTATTAAAATTATTTAAGTTATTTTCATGCTGAATTTATTTGATTCTTTTTTTCCATATTTCTTACGTGATAATCATGTAAATATATTTACTTGCTAAATTAAATATAACTTATCTCAAAACATTTATATTCTCTTTTTTTACCTTAATTTTTTTTTACATACACACAAGGAAAAGGTTTATGGAATTCTTGAAGGATACTCGCAGTAAATCTTACGAAGTTATGTTTGATAGGGAAAGCAAGCACGAAAAAGAACTTAGCGTTCACAAAGGGGAAGTTATTCAAGTTTGCATTCATTTTATATATATATTATTCTACGCGAGTGGATATGGATTGATGATTTAAATAGAAGAATAAGGCTAATAAAATGATAGAAATGTTTTTTTTTAAATATATCTTCATGACATAAGTAGAGGGGGGGGGGAGACTATAATAAATGAAGATTTAAAATATATATGAATCACTTAATAGATAAATCGTTATATAAATATTTACGAATTATATTTGATTTCCAAACTTTTATTTAGATTTTAGAGGATAACCGCAATTGGTGGAAAGCTCGGAATCATAACAACGATATAGGATATGTTCCTTACACGATACTTAGGCCTTATTCATATCTGGATTGAATACCTATTTTTGTTGCACCTTCTTTCTTTTTTTTTAAAAAAATTGTGTTCTTAATTTATTATGGGAATTTCATGTAAGAAATCATCGAAAGAATTTTCTTTTAAAATTTTTATACAAATGTTCTGTTTTTTAAAAAATTACTCCGTCCTACACTTTTTTGCATCAAATATTCCCTCCATCCATCCCTGCAAAGAAGTCTTTTAAATAGTATGTTAAGATAAATGCCAAATTGATATATTTATAAAGCTCTATACCTATGTATTACACAAACGACACCCAAAATATAATAATCAATATATATTTTTTGTAATATTTAATATAACATATTTATTTTTATTTAATTTTTAAAAAAATATCAAATAATAAATTTTTTCAACCCAACATACTAAATCATGTACATTTTTAAAATAAAAATTTATAATATTATGGACAAAACTAAATTATTGGTCTAATTTTAAATCTTAAAATCTTGTATTTTGAACTATATTTTTTGTACATAAACAACAATACTTAATCATAAAATAATTATTTTTATAATCGTCATAAATTATTCTTAGCATTCCAAAAATTTATCCTTTTTTTAAATATAAATATTATTTTTTTTCGCGTATATATATATATTATATATATATAAAATATTACTATATTTTTTATTTAAATAAATTAGAAATTTATATTAATTTATTATTCTTTATTATAAGGGTTAAATGGAAAAAATTGAGAATAAAAGATCTAAGGAGTATAACAAAACCTATAAACTAAGAATTATTATATTACAGGGTGGATTTAAATCGGGATTTATTTTAAAAAAATTAATTTTTATTTGATTTAAATCTGACTTTTTTAATATATCTTAATCGGTTTCTTTAAAATTTAATAAAAAATAATAATAGTGTAGATTAGAGACCTGTAATCCATTTTGCTTGAAACCCAGTGGCGATTTTTTTAGATCTAAATCTGGCCCATGGCTTAGCACAGCCCGCAAAAAGCATTTACTATTTAAAAATTCATTTTATAATTGCCATATTCAATCAAACAAAGTAAGGAAGGAAATATAATATCCATATTTCACGGACTGGGACTATATTTTATCGATGATGTTACTGCCCACTCGACTCTCCCGATATTTAATATGGAGAAATTTGTATAAAGGAATATAATTAAAATATTTTTATATTTCAGCACGCCACATCAATTATAAATTCTATTTTCATTAATTTATATGTTTAACCTTCATCAAACGTTTTGATAGCATTCCATTCACAATATTTAATCTAAAAGTTATTGAACTCATAATTCAGGAAAATATTAGTAAAGCATGTTTAAAATAAAAAATAATTTGTAAATATTATAATGATAACATCGTTGCGGAAGTAAAATATGCAGGTCCACCATCTCCTTTTCGAACATCCCTTGGGTATTAGTTTAAGCCATGTCTACCCTTTAAATCAACGGGTGATTTGCATTTGATGCAGGCATGAGGTTGTACTATATCGCAACCTAGACGTAAACCAATGGTTACTCTCAGTTGTTCATCTGATAAGAGATTACCAAGGTTGCGACTAGGGAGTGATTCTAACCATTCATGACCACCAAGTCTGTCTAATTGGAGGAGTTGAATGCAATCTAAAGGTGGATTGACTGATATATCTGTTTGGTATTTCGAGATTAAAGGTGTGAAAAAATTTTTGTGTGTGATGATTGATGGTAATACAGTGTTAATGTGTTTGCTTTCCATGTGTCAATAGCATCGTCTAATAAACGATCGGTAGGGCATATGAAGCCAGAAATCATAGAATTGTTAGATAATCTAGATGATACGAATGATGATAAGGATAAAAGATTGAGCGGAAAAAAATCTAAACCGCCTAGTTTAGAAGGTAGCTGAGCAAGTGACCAATTGAATGAGTTTAAATTTATATTTAAAATTTTTTCCAGAAATATTTTAAATTTATCCTGAATTTTAGATATGAATTCATTGTTTTTGAAAAAAGATGTTGATCAGAAAATGTGCATAAATTTAGGTATGTACAGGCAGCGAATTAAAAATAAAGATTGATGAGCTGGTAGGAGACTTAGAATGTGCTCCATACTGTTAAAGCTTTTAAAATTCTTGTGGAAAAATCTTCCAACTTGGTCGCATTAGCTAATGGGGACCCAAGTAAGGTTAAGCTGTTAGGAGCAATGATTTTGTAGCCTTCCAACATTTGTGGCTTATTGTTTAAGAAACATAATTCTGTTTTATTTATGTTGAGTACCAGTCGGTAGCTTGGAAATTGATTTCCAGGTGTTTAAAGGTGCTTAGTACAATAGCTGAAGGGTCACAGATGGTCCCATCGTCTAAATACCATAGATTAAGATCTAGGTTGAAATTTTGTTTAATTTGGTAGATGAGATGATGGATTCCAAAACAAAAAAGAAGAGGTCCTAATGGATCCATTAAAACAATTTTTTAAATCATATTTCAACTAAGATTAAATTTCTCAATTTTAAATTTTATTGTTAGATAAATGAATAAAATATTAAATTTAAAGAAATTCATTTAACAAAACACATGGAGCTTCTAGTATTCAAAATTTATAACATAAATAAGAATCATACAACCCTATAAATATTTAAGAAAAACTCTTTAGAGCTAAAAAGAATGGCATAGTAAATATTAGGTATCATTATTTATTAACCTATCTCAATTGTAAAAACCTTATTTTTCAAAAAAATGATGATGGATAAGGAGGATAAAATATGTTTTTGAAGCTTTCAAAAGATGTTATAGTGTGCAAACTTTGATCAAAATTAAAAAGATAAAGTTAGTGTTAAATTACCAAACTTTGACAATCTCTATGGTTTATAGTCAAACTTTTCCTAAAAAATTGAATTTAGCCTCTAAGTTGAGTCTCAACTTGAAGATTTATTCGAATATTTTTGGATAAATACATAGCTACGTTGTTTTATAGTTGACTAAAGTTTATGAACCTATCCGCTAAATAATATGAAAGCACATTATTTGTAACCAATTAAATATAAATTGACCAAAATTAAAAAATATATCATTTTGATTAGAAACTTTATTAGTATCAAAATTGAGACATAAATAACCCATTAAAATAATTTATTTTAATTATATAAACAATATTGATTCATAACATTGAAATTAATTATATGTTCATAATATTCATGCTTTTTAAAAAGCCCATAATTTATAATTTTTTATTGAGGCCTTCTGGCTTGACCATTATTATATGTCAAAGTGCGCACTGGCGATTTATAATTTTTAGATGCCTGCAATTGTATTTCATAACAAGATGGATGAATTTTGAAGCCAAATAACTTTGAAACAAATTTATTATTTGCTTTCTTTGGCCTGAATTCTGGGTGAACCAAAAAAAGCATGTGAGGAAACCCAGTTCCAAAATACGAACCATCAGTATGTTGGTGACGTGCAGAACGTGGATTATATACATCCATACATTTTGGGCAATATAACTTTACCATATCTTCACCAGGTACATCAGACATTCCAATTGGAAGCATGTGCTGGGACTCGCAAAACACTCTTGGACAATAACCAAAATCACCTTGCTGATATTTTTCAAGCATCTGTGCAATCCCCCTATTAGTCAATATGTATCGAGCATGAATTAATCCATATAATAGTTCTGCTGCCTGTTCTATAATATCATTTTGAGTTGGATTATCTTCCATATCATCTTCTGGTTCCAAATCCAATATCATATCCATGGCAGGTCTATAATGTGGCACTTGCTCACTCAATCCCGTTAAATTAAATCTATCTTGAACATATTCTTCGTCAACTTCACAAAAAAATTCGTTTCCACGTAAACCACAGAACCAAGTAATCCATGATACTTCTTCGGAACTACTCATTTATTTTATAAATATGGATTTGAAAAATAATTTGGAGAAAATGGATAAATAGGAATATAATGTTGACACTAGGAAAATAAAAAATATCTATTCAAATTCTTTCTTTTGTGTTTTAAGTATAACTAATTAAAATATATAAAAATATTGTGCAAATTAATATCATATTTATATTATTGTTATGCACTAGGACGATTTGAGTTCATTTATATTTTTAATAGAATGCAAAAATTGTTTTTTCGACATTTTGTCATTCTACTAAATTCATATGGGAGTATTTAAAGGGATCTCGACAATTCTGAAAGGTGGATTCCTAGGTTATTGTATATATTATACCATTGAAAGACGAGTTTGGGACGATCCAATTTTTAGCCCTCCTCAATTAAACCATATACAAAAAGTAATGTTTCCAGATTTGCCTGAAAAAATTGATAAAGTTTATTATTAATTAAAAAAAATATACTATTGAACTTTATAGTTGCCAGATAAAGTAACCATATATAAAGCATGCCGAGATAGCTGGAATAGGGGTATAATAATAATTTTATATAAATTATAAATTTGTAGGAGTTGAGAATACAATGGAAACCTGTGCAGAATCACCCAGATTAGCTGTTAAATATGCCAAAGAATTCAAAAACTATTTTCAAGATCCTGTTTCAATTGATCATAAATAAGAATTTAATGCTTTACATAATATTATAAAATTATTTATTTTGGTTTGTAATGAATTAAAAAAAGTTTATACTTGTTAAATGGTAATACTATTTTTTTGGCTGAATTAAATCTTCATTGGACATATACTTGGTTTTATTATTAAGGCATTCTTGTATTATTAATTCAATTGCTAATGTCTTATTTTATTTATGTTAGACATTGATAAAACTTTATAAAATTAATAGTAAGGATAATTTTATGCTGAGAAGGGCAATGAGCTGGGAACTAAAATTTTTATATAATAATAAATTAAATTTAAATATTCAGTACAAAAGTATAATAATGGGAGGGGGTGGTGGCTGGACCTGCAAAAACATGTCATATGCATAGCTCTATTTATGGGCTTCTATTACAAAGGGGTGGTGAATGACAATATTGCCATTGAAATGGGGGGGGGGGGGTATATTGGTAGTTTTGATTTAGATGAATTCTTTTTTTGCTAATTTTAGTTTGAATTTACTTTTCTTGTTAATTTTGATTTGATTTTCCTGTATTAAATTTTTATTATATATTACACTTTTATATGACGGCCTAAGATAAAAATTAAAAAGGTGTCTCCTTGAAAATCCCAATTAATTTAAGCTTTAAGGAAGGGGAATACAAATCAATATTAAAAAGTAGGGTTGTATCAATATTAAATATTGGTATCAGATTGACACCAATATTGGAATTTCATAAAAACTTAGGATTGGCCATTATATTTTAAAAATTTAACCAGTAATGATTTTATACATATTTTTATTTTTGAACTAATTTCCCTCTCTCGGAAAACCCTTGGAATGGGATTTTATTTGCATAGACCCCCCCCCTCCTGCTTCTTCTATAATGTACATGACTAGTGTTGTTAAACAGCTCTATTTGAGCTGATTTTTAAAAAGGGCTAACTCAATGTTTTATTCAGAAAAATATTATGCTAGCCTAAATATTTTGCTCATAGATGACACAAAGGTTTGGACATCTATTAACGAAATCTTGAGGCTTAGGCAATATTTTTCTGGCTTAAATATTGAGTTAGCCGTTTTTAAAAAGCAGCTCAAATCGAGCCATTTAACAATACTATACATGACCCTCTTCTTAGGGATGAGTGATTAAAATATCAAAAATATTCTTATCTTGGATGATAACCACTTTGTCCCCACCATAGCTACATCATCCTGCACATTTGGGCTAACCACTTTTAATCTATTTTAAATGGTTTCCAAATCTATCTATCTTCTTTTTATATACCCAAACAAAACAAATTTGTTCTAATTAATGTTTAAGTATTCTTGGCCCAAATAATTCACTTAGCATTCACCTTTTTAATTATTTTTTTTTAAATTTTATATATTTGTTCCTTTTTTAAATATTTTTCATGTTACTTTTTTAACATAGAGTTTATATTTTTATTAATTTTTAAATAAAAAAAAAGATTCAACATTTTAAATTTTAAAAACTTCTATAAAACCATGTCTTATAATATAAAAAATATTAGTTAGGCAATAGTTTAATAAGTATTGTTTTATTTTTTCCATTTTAAATCATTAAATGAGATACCCACCCTATAAATTTCTGACAATTTTATATTGAACTTTTGAATAAACTTCAATTTACATTAAAAATATCAAAAAATTAATATAAATTAAGGTTTCTTTAAATGTTGATCAAAAATTGTCTGAAATTTCTAGGGTGGGTATTGTACATATATTGGAATGCATTTTCGGCAAAATTAGATATTTAAATTTAATAAAACTCAATCAATTAATGAATCTAAAATACAAACCCTATTGCGCATATCGGGAAAACCTATTAAACTATCGCCCTACCAAAATATTTAATATTTTTTACATTTTTTTTAATAATAGAAGAAGTAAAGTTTTTTAATAAACTAATATATTAAAAATTACCTAAAATTTTTGTGTATTTTTATTTGTCTATTGTTTATTCCATTGTTTTTAATTTTTATTAAGAAAGAACTTATAGTAAATAAAATTCATGCGAATCTTAACTTGATTAATTAACATATCGATATTTTATCTCCAGCACAACTGGTGATATAGACACCTTTCTTTAACGCTGTATTTGAGCCCATTTTTAAAAACGGCTAATTCAATATTTTGGCCAGAAAATATTGTCTAAGCCTCGAGATTTCTCTAATAGATGGCCATATTTTTGTGCTATTATCTATGATCAAAATCTTCAGGCTTGCTTAATATTTTTCTGGATAAAATATGAGTTAACCGTTTTTAAAAATCGGCTCAAATCGAGCCACTTAACAACATAATCACGTAAACTTGATGCTCTGCCTTTATAAAGAAAAATATACAATATTATAATTTAAATTTATTTTGTTTTTATTCTCAAAATAAAATCATCGTTTGTTATATATAGAAAATTTAATATAAATATATATGCGCTAACATTTGTAATTATTTGTATTAAAGTCTAAAATAGATAATTGAAAATTCTGATCATCATTAAAAATATGGAACTATATGTATAATTATTGTCTAAGGGTTAAAACTTAATAAGATAAGACATTATTTAATATATCAGGAACCTGCAGAGGACCATTTGCTTGGCTTTGATTTTTTTAAAAATATATTACATTAATTTTTATAGCTAATAATGACGATTTAACACATTTGGTTTTAAAATATACCACCTGGTCAGGGATATTTTTTAAAAAATTAAACGGGCCGAGCCTGCGGGTCTATGTTATATATCTTATAATTAAAAATCTTTCTAAAAATTTCAGACTTTTAATTTTTTTTAAAAGCCAGTATAAGTGAATATTCTGATTAAAACGCTATTTAAAAAAAATTTACAAACATTTTTATTATCCATTATCTTATTTCATATAGAATAATGATAAATCAATGTAAACATCGGATCGATGAAAAAATTGTCCATCGGTGCAGCCCTAGCAAAAAGAAATGAAATCCAAATTAAATTACCAAAAAATAAAATAAAATTTTAATAATATAAATAAGGAAGTAAAAATTGATGCACTGAACCAAAAGTTGGTGCCCTAAAAAAGACTAATTTTGTCGATCCAAGAATACTGTCCTACTCTATTCCCCGTTTATATAACGTCAATATCCTTAGAATGATCATTTTCTAACTTTTCCTTGTCAAATCCTGCCCCTTATTCACAGGATCCTTTTAGTCTGCTCCCCAACAATGCTTCGACCTTTTCTGTTCCTATACACCTCCCACCCAATGTATTCTTACAATCATGTAATTGACATTTATATTTATTTTAAAATATTTCAAAAAAAATTAATACCACACTTGATAAGGAGAATAACCTACTAAAATTTATAAATATATCACTTTAAGGTATTTAAATAATAATAAAAAAAAATTTATTTTTCGAGAAATAAGTTTTCCGTAAATAAAAAATATTTTTATAATTCTCATAATAAATTGCCAATTTTTTTTTTGCAAATTCAACCATGTTATAATATAGTTTGGAATTATTCTTTGTAAAAGTAACAAATTAAATAATAAAATATTACCTAATTACTATCGTTATGTATTTGCTCGCTCTTTTTTGAAAAAGATTTGTTTTACCTATTTTTAGCCGAGTAAAAAAAAAGGCTAACTAATTTTTAGCCGTAAACCTACCTTAGTCTCATATTTTTTTGAAAAAAGAAAACTAAATTAACTCACGCAAGTTTTGAGCTATAACTCAACTATAAAGCATCAAACAGCCGACTTTTTTTATAATATATCATACTGCATTATATCTTCTAAATGGTTGCTATTATATAAAATAGTAAATTTTTGCTGAATATAAATAATATGGTAAACATTAATTTTGAAAAAAATTGGCTTTCGTTTAGTAATTTTTAAAGTGGCTCAGGAAAATATCATCTTTAGTTAGCGCGAATAAACAGCTTAAGTATAAATTTGAACTGAGATACTGTATAGAAAAAATCAGTTAATGTTGAAAGTATGTTATTCCGTTTATCTCTATCCCAATTTTAGATATTTTTTTTATAATCATTGCGTAAAAATTATTTATATATTACCGTTCAAAAAAGAAATAGCTATGCTACCGTGTTTTAGTGAGCATTCAAACGCGATATTATTTTCGATACATTTCCTAGTCATTCACATAGGTATATGAACTTAAAGAAATAATTACCTTTTCTAAGATTATATTTTTAAAATCATTTAAGTTTAAGAAACTATATATCTTATTTAATAGCGTCATTGGAGAGGGGCTCGACTCCTCGAATTTTGGAAATCCCCCCCCCCGTGATAAAGTTAAAATTTAAAACTATTGGTTTTATTTTGGATTTTGATTTTCTGCATATTCTTTTATATTCGAATTCATATAAATTTCAAATTCATCTTTTATTGTTCATCCTCCTCATCGTTCTCCCATCTTTCCTATTTACTATAAGATATATAAAAGCAACTTAATATTGAGAAATGTCTTGTATATCCAAATCTATGATATCAATTGAAAATTTACTATATTTTTTACAATTGATATTTTTGATTGAATATTCTATCCGATATCTTACCACAAGGGATAAATTTCACTATTTAGGGCGCAAAAATATTAATATTTTATGCAAAATATCTATTTTAAATTTAGATAACCAAAAAATATTGGTTCATATTTAGTTCATTTAATTGTTTGATAAAATAAATTAAATATAATACAAATGAGTTCAAATAAGTGTGAAAATTTTTTTATTTTAGTAAAGTGGTTTTTACATAGAGCGGGATTAATATCTCCATTTTATCTTAGCTTTATCAAATCTATATAGTTTTTTCCAAGTTATCCATTGTATTGATATCCCCTTTGAATGACAAAATTTTTTTTTAATTGGCATCATATTTCAACATAATTATAGTTTAGAATTCCATCTTGTTTCAATATCTTGCTGTAAGGCGTTGCTTAGCAGAAAGTAGGTTTTGATATATATTAGCAGCCATAATTTTCAAGGATCGTTCCTTAAGTATTTTGAAGAAATGTATTAAGCAGATGTTCGCTGCAATTTAATCTATATATTTTTTTGGAGTTTTAATTAAATTAGCTCCTTTTATTAGATAGAAATGTTATATGTTTCACTTGATCGAGAATTATGACAATTATTTGATAGTATTTCTTTGTGTATGTTATAACGGTTTTAATTCTCTCCTTCAAATTTACTAGTAAATAAAACATGTTTAAATTTT